CTGGGGAATTCTGGGAGTTGAAGTCCACACATCTTAAACTTCCCAAGGTTGAGAAACACTAGATCGTTTCAGATGTTAGATTCATTCTGCTTAATTATTCAATACACTACAGTAGTATACAGCTCTGCTTTCATCCCCAGGAGAAAAATGGAAAAAAAGGCAACCAGAATCTTACCCGTTGACAATGATGTTGATGGGGTACTTTACAGGGATGCTGTGTCGAGCTTTGTTGTTTTGAAGAGTGTCGTTCGCCTCATTCTCACTATAAAAGAGTAAGGCCAAGAACGCACAATATATTCTTAGAACTACTTGTTCCAGAAGTGATCCGGACTTCTGTATCCAGAAGCAACCCATACATTTTCTTGTAACACCCAAGCAGATAATCCTTCTCCAGCATCTGATACTACATTGTAATAAATAAAAGACTTTACACACTGATGGCTTCCATCATGCTGTTCTCTGCAGCAATAATTTCAATCCACTTTCCTCTTTTCTTTAAGACTTTAACATTTTCTGGCCCACCCAATTTTACCACACACACCCTGCCACTCCTACATGATTCTCCTTTCCAAAAACTTTTTGTTCATCCCCCAACATTCCTCTCCTGCTCTATCCTGAGTGGAAGATTTAAGAGTAGGGCAGCTCATTCTACTTTCTGTGTGGCATCTAACACAATAAGGCTGCAAAACATAAAACAGAATGGTTCAGTAGAATAAATATTTGAAGTTTACCTGCTGACATATACCTCCATCTCCAAGTTCTCTGTCCAGGCAACGTCGGCGAGGACACCAAACTGGAGCTGGATCAAAGCCTGAGAGAAAGCAGATCAACATTTCGACAGTTCACAACATCTGCCAAACATTTTACTGTCTCTTTTGTTCTGTCTCTGCTCTTTGAAGCACCAAATCAAGCCCCTTCACCCTCATAAAGCTCGCTAAACAATAGAAGATGCATATCCTGACATTCAGAATTGCAAGTTTGTTTGTTTTTTAATTCACATTTTCTGCTCTTCCTGCTTGGTCCTCTGAATTCTCATGGCCAAGATGCCTAAATACAACTCCAGAGGCATTGGCGGGGTTCACCCAATGGGGCCATGCCAAAATGTGATTGGGCTGTTGTTGCTTGGCTCAACATTGGGCAAGCACAACTGCTGTGGTTTGTAAACTCCTGTTTCTAGCTTAGCGCAATATATGAGTCAGCCATTGTGGATTGTTCAGGAAACCACAGCCAAAGCAAATTGTGGTTTAATCTAAAATGTGAACTTGCACATAATTTCTTTCAGGGTACCAATTTTGCTATAGGCCTCAGCTTCTGCTAGAGCAGTGTTTCTCAACCTTGATAACTTGAAGATGGGTGGACTTCAACTCCCAGAATTCCCCATGCTGGCTAGGGAATTCCGGGGGCTGAAGTCCACACATCTTCAGGTTGCCAAGGTTGAGAAACACTGCTCTAGAGGATGCTATTAGGCAAAGGAATAAAGGCAAGATGGTCTGCTGCGACATACTGCTCTGACATAAGATGACTAACTGAACTGCAAACTGTAGCTTGGTTCTGGGAGCAGTTCAGGATCCTCAGTCCCTGTATTGACTAGCCCCGTGTGATGGGATGTGGGAATGACCTTGGGAGACAGGAGGAAGAGCCACAGCCAGGGCAACAGTCTGATAAGCAGTAATTTAGCCCACAGAAGGAATGTGGGTGTGGCAAATGTCTCAGAAGGGACACTCCCAAGTTTCCTGGGCTGTAAAGGTGAGGGGGGAGAGACGGACTTTCAGACTTGCAAGATTCTGTTAATGTAATCTGTTAATGTAACCTTACTATAAAGTAGAGCTAGTACTTCTGGGTGTGCTTCTTATCTGGACTACTTCACAAGGCTGACACCCAGCAAGATCCTGCTGGAAAGGAAGGCGATAAGGATAGAGTCGAGACTGTTGTTCTTTTTTTCTATTCCAAAGAACAACAGTTTCAACTCTATCCTCCATCATGAATTCTGCCTTGTTCCTTCGACTATCATGACTTCTGAATGTAGTCTACGGCCCACTCATAGCACAGGATTCAAGTTAAGGCAGCCCTGCCTAACTCCTATCAGCAAAGTTTGCACACAACTATCCAAACGTTCTGCAAACCCAGCACATGTGCTTTGTTTTGAGTTCAGTGTGCCCTGCAAACCCAGGAAATTAGGTTAGTTGAGTAAACCATGGTTTA